TATATATATACACACACATATATATATACACACACATATATATAATTATTCAATATAATTATATTTGCATAATTATTAATTATGTTTATATATGTATATAATATGTATACAATTATGTATTTATATACTCCATATTATATTTATATACATTTATTTATATAAGTATATATTTATATTCATATGTATACACATAGTCTATGCATATAAATGTATATATGTACACACATGTATATATGATTATAGATTATATTTTATATTACTTGTATATTATAATTAATGTTAATTATAAGTTACTTATATATTTTATACATATTATATATTGTATAGCATATATATTTATCTATTTAATCCTCACAACAACCCTATAGTGTAGACTACTATTATGGTACTCATTTTACAGATGAGGTAACTGAGGCCCAAAGAGCTGAAGCAACTTGCCCAAAGTCATCCAGCTAGGAGGTAGGTAGAGGAGTTGGGATTTGAATTCAGACACTCTAGCTCTAGGGCCCATGACTTAAACCACTGTACCAGGTTGGGCATGAGGGATGAAGCCCAGGTGGGTGCCCAGGAGTTTGGTGTCTACTTCTCTATTTCCTTAAGCTTCTTCAGGCTCGTTTCTGATTCATCAAATCAGGAGTTTCCAAAAGCTAGTCCTCCTGCGACTTACGTGGCTGGCCCTGAGGAGGGCCTGTTCCTTGCTATTTTTCACCGCCTTGGTCACCATCACTGGGGAGTAGGTGTCTTCTATGAGTTTCTCCTGTCATGGGCAGAGAGGAAGAGGTATGGGGCCATCTCCAGGGCACAGTGGGGTTTGAAAAGTACTGGCAGGAAAGCCCAGCTTTCCTGGGCTAATCAAGCAACCTGGTCAATGGGCTAATCTAGCAATGTGAGTTTCCTGCATGTATTATGTCATAACAGCTACCATCTGTTGAGTGCCTGCTGTGTGCCAGGCACCGGGCTTTACATGGACCATCTCCTCTAAATCTCTTCAGATAAAATCCTCTGAGGTCAGGACTCTTATTGCTATTTTACAGGTAAGGAAACAGAGGTTAGGACTGGCTAAGTCACTTGTCCAAGGTCATTGCACAGCCAGTTCAGGGCAGAACCAAGACCCAGTCTCAGGTTTGGTGGCTTCATAGCCTCTGGTCTACTAGGCTGTTCCCTCTCTAGTCTCCTTGACAATCTCTGAGCTTTCTGTGGACAGACATCTGCTCCCTCTTTTTCCATCTCTTCTTAGGGAGGCCTAGAAGGGGACTGACCAACTGCCTGAATGGCCAAGGGGCTGTGGCCCCACTTTAGGTTGAAACTTATCAGGGCTGGCGCAGGGGCAGGCACAATGCCTGGCCTACGCTGGGCCTGGCAAACCTGGCCTAGGCTGGGGCCTGGCAAACCTACCGTGGGTATCACTTCATAGAGCCCGTATGTAGTATAGCTGGTCCCGATCCAGATCTTCACTTTTCCTGAGGCGTAGGCTTGGACGTTGTGACGGACTTGGCTGTAATCTTCGACTTGCACACACATGGAGCCCGTGCAGCTGGAGTTGAGGTACTTCAGGGTCTCAGAGTTTAAGCAACTCCTGTTTACAAATAACCTAGGTGGGGACGGAAGATGAGGAGGGTCCTGAGGGTCTCTAAGGTTGATGCACTTCCTGGAGGTCAGAGGAACTCCAGCAAAGAACCAAGCAAACCATATTTGGAGTAGGTGGGAACAGAGGTCAAGGGGTCAGGAAAATCCCACTGCAGGCTTCCTAGAGGATCCTGTGGGGGTAGGCAGCAGGTTCCTGGGAAGGCCGTGTACCAGGGCCGTGTAAGTGGTAGAGCAGCAAGGGGTGGGAGTTGGAGGAAGTCCTGGAGAGCAAGCCAAGGAAAAGCCATACCTGATAGAGGAGTCTGTGAGCAGTGTGTAGGAGTAGAAGAAGGGGTTATAAGGGATGTCACTGCCACGAAGGTTGAAGAGCCCTGGGGAAGAGAATTGATGGGGTCTCTTTGAGGCTGGTCTGCCCAAGGCAAGGACTTGCACACTTTTGCCCCACCATTTGCTTTGGGCCCCAAAGAGTCCCGGCAGTGTGCCTGAACATCTGCCTCTGAAAGTTTCTCAGTTTGGTGGGGAGGGGGGCTTTGAGGTGCTGATGAGAGCAATGGACCCCCCTTTCTCCCAGAAAAATGAAGATGCCCCACCAGCAACCAGCACAGTTCCAGTGGGTTCCCAGAATATCTGAAGCCCAGAGCCAGGGTCAGGTAAGAAGCCCTATGCCACACTGGGACAGAATAGGCTTGCACCAGGTGCGAAAGCTGGGAGTCTGAATGCTCTTGGGTTGCTGGCCAGGCTGATGGCAGGTGTTAGCTGGGCCCCTTTCCCTTCATGGGACAGCCTTTGCCGTTGTGCTCAGCCCCTTCCTCTGATGGCCTGTGGGCTGCCTACAGCGTGCTCTGGGCTTCCTGGTTTTCTTATTAAGCAGACATGATCTCCTGCCCCCTAGCCTTCTTAGTTCCCACAAACCATGGCCATGGAGCTCTCAGAACCCGTGGTGATAGGGTGACTGGGGGAGGAGTTCTGGGTTGCAGGTCCAAGAGGCTTGGGGTTTGGGGGGACCGAGGCGCCCACCCGTGTCCATGAGTCCACACTCACAGGCCGTCTCATCAAGCGCTGACAGAAGGACAGCAGTTGGTGCCTTGGGATGCTTTTGCATCTGGCTGCGGATGTCAGATACTTTCTTCTGCCAGGTGTTCCCTTGAAGCAAAGGAGCCAAAGAAAGCATAAGCAACATACTTTCCCTTTGGCACTCTGTTCCTGAGAGGGCTCCCTCAGGGCAATCGCTTTCTGTTTCTTTCTTTTTTAAAAATTTTTGTAATATTTATTTATTTTTGAGAGAGAGGAAGCACATGACAGCACAGTAGAGGGGTAGAAGGAGAGGGAGACAGAGGATCCAAAGCAGGCTCTGCACTGACAGCAGAGAGTTCAATGTGGGGTTCAAACTCACGAACCGTGAGGTCATGACCTGAGGTGAAGTCAGTTGTTTAACCAACTAAGCCACCCAGGCACCCCTTCCCATTTCTTTAAAAGCAATAGAACACTGTCTTCAAACAAACCCTCACTTCTGTAATTATTAAGGACATGGACTCTCTGGGCTGACTGGGTTCAAGTTCTGGCCCTGCCATTACTAGTTGTGTGATCTTGGACAAATCACTTAACCCTTCTGTGTCTTATTTTGCATATTCGTAAAATGAGAATGGATTATCATAGCAGTATTGACATCAATAGGGTTATTTTGGGCATCAAATGAATTAATATTTGTAATGCACATAGAATGGTGTCTTGATGTATAGTAAGTCTGGTGTAACCTTCTGATCCATAAGTAAGCATGCAGAACAGAGATCAAGAGAGCAGCCTTGGCTGAAGGGCAAAGGGACAAGGCTGGGTCATGATAGAGCCTCTACTCTGAAGTAACCTGGTGCCTAATAAGACACGGGTCCTTGAACATTGTTTTAATTCTTATTTGACCCATTTACAGATAAGGATGTTGAGGCTTCAGGGAGGTAAAGTGACTTGTCTAAGATTTCATAGGTAGCAAGGGGTGGAGGGGTGGAGCAGAGATTTCAACCCAGGTCTTTTGGACTACATGGCCCACCCTCCTAATCTATATGGACACTGGACTATCTTGCTAACACTGTCAGTCCCCAGACTTGTCCTTAAACTCTGTGCCACAGAGCTATCCTTTCTAGGATGCTTGTGTCCTGGTTCTAGGACTTTAGTGTTCATCTTTTATCCCTAGTCTCTGTAATGCACATGAAGGGTCTGTTCTGAGGCACAGCTCATATTTTGCTGACAGAAGGTCATAAACATTAAGGGTCCTAGCTGGGCTCAGAGATTAACATAAGCAACTTAATGCCATTTAAAAAAACTTTATGCAAACAGGTAAAACTATCCAACAAGAACCAAAGCTTTGGGTATGATACTCTTTAATGATTGTTTTATTTTATTGTGGTAAAATACACATACCACAAAATGTATCATTTTAACCATTTTAAAGTGCACAATTCAGTGGCTTTAAGAACATTCATAAGATTATGCAACCACCACTGTCTAATTCCAGAACATTTTTATCATTCTGAAAGAAACCCCTGTAGTCATTAGGCAGTCATTCCCTATTCTCTTCTCCCCTCAGCTCCTGGGAAACATTAATCAGCTTTCTGCCTCTATGGATTTGGCTATATTGGATATTTCATACAAATGGAACCATACAATATGGGGCCTACTCTGGCTCCTTTCCCTTAGAATTATCTTGTCCAGGTTCATGAATGTGATACATTTTTGTGACAACAAATGCAGGCAAATTTAAATTGTCTGATGCATACAGGTATCTTGGAATAATTAACTTTTCCCGTTCTTTTCCTTGCCCTTTGCCCCCTTTAAAGCTTATCAGTTGCTGGAGAGAAAGTCTCTCTTGTCTCTGTAAGCTTAGTGACTCAAGAACTCTGTTCTTGGGCTGCCAGGCCCAGTTCTGGCTCTGGATGGCTTTTCCTTGAAGACGAGCAGCCTACGAAGCTTAGCATCCTGTCACTTGTGGGAAGTGACTTTAAAACCCATGTGAACTCTCCCTCAGTCCCTTGGAAGGGTTCCCCCTTTTATCCCCTCCCCTTCCCGACATAACTGCTCTCTTCTTTATCTGAATGGAATGAGTATTATTTATGATGGTACAGTCCTGGATAGCAAGTTTCTTTAAAATTTTTTTGAGATGCAGAATGATTCTGCAAATTATACCAGAACAGATAAAGAAAATTGGGCAGTTTTAGCTTGTTTCATCATCCTTGCTATTTTGAAATTTCCCTCCTGCTCTTTTGACTCCTTTTCAAGCAAGAAATGTGCACGGACCTGTGTGTGGAAAGGTGCCTCTCAGATTGCCCAATATTGCTAGGAATCCAAGTCCATTGGCTTGTTCAGAATTCCTGGGGAGGTAGGGGGTGGTGGTGTCCAAGACAGTGATTCATAATCAATAGCCTGATCATGGTCAGGATTTTAGTTGCTACTTAACAGAATCTAGAGCATGCTGTTCTTTTATGATGTATTTAGATGGTATCAATGAGGTCAAGATGAAAACTATTGATGTTAGAATTTGGGGGGTCAGTCAACTTTCCTTTGTGGTCTGGCCAAAACTTGAACCTTAAGTTGTACCATGGATTGACCCTGAACTTAGTTACATACTTCCTTTGTCAGCCCGGCCCACCTGACCCCAGACATCTTATTACAGGAGGGCCAGAAGTCAAGGTTTGAATGAATCAATATAAACCAGTCTCCACTACTGCACAAGCAACTCATATCATGTTTTTTCCTCTCTTGAAAGGGGTGGGGTTCTTTTTTTCCCCATCTTGCTCTGATTCCCTTGTTTCCTCACTTCCTGTTCTGTCTTCAAATCCCCTTCCTGCTCCTTCTGTCTTCAAGTCCTAACACTATTTATTCCAGTGTTTTCTAAATATGGTCTGAGGACCTTTTGATTCAGATTCTTTGAGATGACATCTGTTTTTTAAATAATCATCCCAGGCAATTCAGGTGCACACAAAGGTTCAAGAACCATTGCTCTGGTAATTCCTAGGACAAAATTTTCACCCAGAGGAGCAGCAGTGGGGACCTGTGTTGCTTCAAGTTGGGAAGGAGAAGGGGCTTAGAGAATCACCTGTGAATGCCTCCTGCAGGACATAAATGGGCTGGCTCAGAACCAGAGGCTTCTCTGACCCCCATGCCTGGTCCACAAGGTTGGGTGTGATGGACACCAGTTTTATGTTAGAGTTCATGAGGGCCATGTTATAACTCTCCCAGGAACCTGCAGAGACAGGAAGCAGTCACTTGTCCCCTGCCTGTTCGCACCTCAGGGAAAACTGTGACTCAGGCAAAGTTAGTCCTTCTCTGCTCTGCCTCCCACTCCACTGCTGAAGCCCAGCTGCTCAGAGTAGGTCCAAGCAGTCTGGTTCTGTTGGAGCACGTCCTCTCAGCCTCCTTGTTCTGCTTTCAAAGCCTAATTGCCCTGGGCCCACCCCAACCCTGCCCACAGCCAACTGGCTAGGTTTATCCTTTTAAGCACCAATGGCTATGGGGCCCTCTTCTCAGTACTTTCCATTGTAACTGAGCTTCAGTGCCACAGTCCAAAGAATGGTGATGCCCACACCATTGGAAAGGCTGGCAAAGAAGCCAGTTCTGAAGGGGGAACCTTTTGGTACATATTTGTGAAGACCCCACCCTTGGCCAGCTGGCTGGGGTCCCAGAGCTCAGGGACCTATGATCCTGGGGGGAGGGGAATATGCTTCTTTGTGCAGAAGCTCACTGAACTTCTTTGACCCTTCCAAGCTGCCTTTCCGAAGAGTGCTCCCAAGTGATTCTAGTGCCATAATTGGTACAGCTTCAGAGCACAGAGGATGGTTCTGGGTTCAAGAACATCCTGGCCTATTTGTCTGCTAGATATATATTATGTCTGTAAGACTTAATGATTCCCTGGATCTTCTAGGTTGGGGCTCTGTACTCATGACTTAAAAAAAAATCTGCATTCATTCTTTTAAATATATTTACATTACACAGTCCATGAGTAAATCTTTGTTGCAAAATATTCTGTAACTATAACTTGAGACACTGTCTTTAGAGTCATCCTATTCCTCCTTCTATGAAGGTATGCTTCTTTACATCCCAGAGGGGCTGAGTCACCCTTGTTGCTGTGGACAAATGCAGGAATGAGGGAAAAACATACCAATGGAGAAGAGAAAGGGGTCGAAACCCACACGCTTTCCAGCAGGAACCTCAGTGAGGAGCCAGACGACTATGGAAGCTGTATCAACTAAGAGGAAGACAGGAAAGAATGGAAAGTCACCTCCAGGGACCGTCTCAGGCTCTCCAGTCAGGCTTCTGTCTGTGACAATCCTGCCAGGTATGTCCTCCTTGATGTCAGCTTCAAAGGTGAGGTATGGCTTGAGATTTCCCAAGTTTCCCATAGAGGCCTTTCATGCATCCTCTTACCTGTACTTTCTTGAACCTAGTCTAGATTTCAGAGCTTGGGGGACAAATCCATGCGACCTTTTTACCTTCTTTATGTAGTTCCCAGTTGCAGTCCATCTGCCGCTCAGCCTGGGTCCAGTAGCGACTGTCAGTCCAGAGACCTGCTTTCCCCATGGTTACCACTGCAGTTCCTGAGACAGAACAGAGAAATTTGGAGTTGAGGGTGAAGGTGAGGATGGTGGCCTTAGTGCATGGGCAATATGGTACTGGCTCCGAGAATGTCACAAGGGGTCTCCGGAAAGAACTTCCCTCCTCCATTACAAGAAGTGAGGCAGGAGACATTAAGGAGAGCATCGGGGGAAGCCAGCTTGGGTCAGGCATCTCTGCTCTGTGTTGAGATCCTCACCTAAGGAGGGACAAGTGGGGTCTGCTTCTTGCCTTCCAAAAGAGTCAATGCTGCATGTAGGTGCTCTCAGGAAAGATGGTGTGGTAGTTAGTATCAAGACTCAGTGGCTGATAGGGACACTAAGCCAGGGGCTTAGCTGAGGACAGGCAGAGAAGCCAAACCCAGTATCTTTGGCAAAGATGAGTAAGGCAAGGAAGCTTGAAGCTTAGGGGAGGAATGTTTAAGGATCAGCAAGGGAAGCGTGGATTTCACTCAGGGGGCCAGGATCAGAGTGGGGGGCCCCTTCAGAAACTGGGATCCCATAAAGTGCTTTTTTGTTTGCGACTCATTTGGCCATGTGAGGTGATGTTTGAGAAGAACCCACTAAGTAAAACTGTCCCCAGGTGAGCCATGTATGAAGGGAATCAGCGGGCCCCTAGTGGCTAGATGTGGAAGTGGCAGCTGTTCCAGAAATGGAGCCCAGGGTGTGCTAAGCTACGTCTGGCAGCAAGCACTGGAAGAAAGCCTCCTGCATTCTGCCTCATGAGAAGTGTGACTGGTGGTTTATGAGATGTATACCCTGGCGACCCTTTTCTGAGAGGTAGAGGGAAGACAGGACCACTGAACATTAGGTCTTGGGGTCCTGGCTTCTGAGAACTGGCCATATTAGAGCATCTGTGACTACCTCTGGGTCTACCAACAGAAGCAATAAGGGCAGGGTAATGGCTGTCACCTGCAGACCCTGTGAAGCCTGTCATCCACGCACGCCTCTTGTCACGTGTGCCGATGTACTCACTCTAGGAAATCAACAACACCGTTGTTAGCCTTCTTCATGGAGTCAGACCCCATGGAACGCCCCCAACCACATCCCAGTTCTTTCTGTCTGGTCAGATTCAACGAGTCCTACAAGCCCAGGCACACTGGGCACCTCTTCCAGGAAGTCCTCTGTCACTCCCCCAGATCTCAGGATCTTCCCTTCCTTTGGACAACTGTGTCTCTTGGAGTCTCAATCCCATAGTCCAGAACTGGCCTGTTCTTGTCTCCCCGGTCAGAATGAAAATTCTGTGCTGTCTGGGATCATGTCTTTTGATTCTTCTGGTTTCTCCCCTCTAGCTGTCGCCACACCCTCCCCCGTCTAGTATGGTACACTGAGTACACCATAAATAACTTCTGCAGAGGGCTTTACACATAATTGTCTTTTGGTCATCATAATCCTTTGAGACAGATCTCATTATTTCCATTTTGCAGAAGAGGAAACTGAGGCTCAGAGAAGTTGAGATACTTACCCAAGATGGGAAAACCAGTTCAAGCAATCTTATTAACACTGAAAATGCCTTCTCTTCCAAACGGGCTAGTGCTCAAAAGGTGGATGGGATGGAGGCAGAGCCGGTGGTGGGGAAAGGGTGGGATGGGTTGGCAGGGGTGCTGCTTTGGGAAAAGCAGTTCTTGTTCAGACCATCTTCTTTCCTGTCTGCTCCCCTCCCCCAGCCTACACTCCAAATTCATGTAGTCCGGGACTGTGGATCATTCCAATGCTCCATCCATCAGGTTATGGAAAAGGCTGGGCTGGAAGGGAACTTAGAATTCTTCTGGTCCGATTCTTAGCCCACGCTCTAACCTCCTAGGGCTGGAGTGCCCTAGACATTCATTCTGGATCTGCCATCTAGGGACTGATCAAAATTGATTCTGAACTTGTTTATAGTCTCATTGCCTGGAGGCAAGGAGATTTGGTGATGGCTTCTCTCCTATGTAAAGGAATAGACTCTCTCAGCTGCCCTAAAACTCACATGTCCAAGCCTTGTACTTCCTTCCCTTTGCCTTTTGAATCCTTTCTCTCCTTCATCTTCTGAGCCTTAGCAGCCTCTCATTTGTACCCTGTTCTCATTGGTGGTTGACCCAGGATAGCAGAGGGCACGGGTGGGGGATGAGCTGTCCCTTACCATGTGGGCATCCGTTTCAGGGATGATGTAGGCAAAAAGATTCTGGATGTGCATCTGCTGGCGGAGGGCTGTGAGCTGTGCTGTGGTATTGACTACAGTAACTGGAAGGTACTAACATGTGACAGGAAGACACCAAGACACACATAGAGACACACATTGCTTAGAGAAAATGATGCTTGAGCCCCAGCATCCAGAGGAGTCACCAGCCCCCCCACCCCCGCCTTAGGCAGGTACTGGGTGTGGCCAGGCTGGACCAGCCTGCAGAGGAAAGGGGTGGGAGCTGATGTTATGGGTGAGTCTAGAATAAGGTGCCTGGGCTGAGAGGAGATGTAGGTGTTGAAGAACTTGGAGAGAAACTCCTTGTGACAATAATGGGACCTGAGTCACAGATGGGGGCATGGGTGCAGGGATCTGAGCCCTGGCACTGGGCCAGGCTAGAAGGACAGTCTTTCTTTGGATACCTTGGCAGCAGAATTGCAAATCTAGCAAATAAAAATACAGGATGCCCATCCAATCACATGTGAAATTCAGATAAGCAACATATAATGTTTTAGTATAAGTATGTCCCACACACTATTTGGGGCATACTTATACTAAGACATTATTCATTATTTGAAATTCAGATGTAACTGGGCATCCTGTATTTCACCAGGCAACCCTACCTTGGGGACTTTTTCAAGTTTCCACCGACTGGTCCCAAATGGTAGAGGAGAGTGAATGAGTACCCCCAGAAGTTTGGGATATTGTCCAGAAAGATCCCCTCTAAGCCATTTCTTTAAAAGCTGTTTTATCTTTAAAATAAAGAGTGTGGTAGGGGCGCCTGGGTGGCTCAGTCCACTAAACGGCTGACTCTTGATTTCGGCCCAGGTTTGTGAGATCCAGCCCTGCATCAGGCTCTGTGCTGACAGTGCAGAGCCTGCTTGGGATTCTCTCTCTCTCCCTCTCTCTTTGTCCCTCCCCTGCACGCGTGTGTGCTTGCTCTCTCTCACTCTCGAAATAAATAAACTTAAAAAAAAAAAAAAAAGTGTGGGTTTTTTGTTTTGTTTGCCTTCTACTTAATGATATATCCATGTCTGTTTTAATATAAAAGTAACATGGTTTGCCCACCCACCTGACTTCCCCAGTGGTCTCATAAACTTGACATTGCAAGCAGATGTACCCCATTGGCCCTGAGGCTTAGTGAACTGCTGGCAGGCCACCAGCTTTCGCCTGTGCCTCCCCCTGCCTGAAGAAGCTCTTTTGCCCTACTCTTGTGGAAAGAATCTTCTGGTCTCCAGCTAGGAAGCTGAGACCTTTCAGCTCCAATATGCTATGCCTTCTCCTGTAGTCACACCCGAGGCCGCCCTCTCACCCTTCCGTTGTCCTTTCTAGCTCTGTCTTCCTCCCTCCTCCTTTCTGTGCCTCCCTTTGCACTGTAACTTTAGAATTTTTGTTTTCTTTCCTCCCATCCTCCTCTTTGCCTCTGCCCAGCGTCAGCCAAGGCTAGCTAAAGCCCCTCACCCGCCTCCTGCCCCTCCTCCTTCCCTCTAGCGGGGCTGCCCAAACCCAGACGGAAGTAAACTGCTGTGGGAATGGATGGGAGGGAAGGATGGGGTGTGCCTGTCAGACACCCGAGAATGTGCTGCCCGACCTGAGGGATGTTAATCAGAAACTGTGGCCCCAGAGTCCGGAAGTCAGGAGAAAGGTGGGTAGAGGCAAAGGCTAGCAACTGAGCCAATGGGGGATGGGGAGAAGATGGGAGCTGTGGGGCGGGGCTGAGGCAGGGCCTTACCGGAGGGCTGATTAAACAGTTTCTCACGTCCTCTGCCGTCAGGTCCACTGATTTTGGGTGGCCCCAGGCACCCAAAGCTAGAAACCAGGAGAAAAATCCAGGGTCACTTGGAGACCAGTTAGCTCCTAGAGAGCACAGGGACATGTTTCCCCAATCCTGCTCCCTGTCCCCACTGGGCCTCCATCCTTTGAAAAAGCAATGCTGTCCAACTCTACCTTAGGATAAAAATAATCACATTTCATAGGAAATTAGGCTGAATTGAATGCACCCTGGGTCATAATCAAAGAAACCTGTTTCATTGACAAGTGATTGCCACTTTTGCATGGGGTTTAGTGCTCATTAAATCAACTTTTCCCTTCTAATCTAATTGGGACTTTTCAGGGTTTACCAAACTGGAAAAGTTGTATGTAAATTAAAATTTTATAATCAAATTTTCTTTGAAATTCTCTAGAGGATCTCGTTAAATAATCAACCCACCTTCATTTTACCCTTCTATGCATTTAGTTTTATATATATTGGGTTTCCTTAGCATTCTTTTTTTAATGTTTATTTTGAGAGAGAGAGAGAGAGAGAGAGAGAGAGAGAGAGAGAGAGAGAGAAAGCACCCGCGCATTTGTGCACATGAGCAGGGGGAGGGGCAGAGAGAGAGAGAGAGAGGGAGAGAGAGAATCCCAAGCAGGGTCTGTGCTCAGCCCAGAGCCTAACTCGGGGCTCAATTGCACTACTTCGAGATCATGACCTGAGCCAATATCAAGAGTCAGATGTTTCACTGACTGAGCTACCCAGGTGCCCCTATATTGAGTTTACTTAAATTCAAGGCCCATTTGTACCATTTCTTATGACCCAAATATCTGGCTCTCATTTCAGGCTCATTTTTTTGAGAGAGAAAGAGAGAGAGAGATGGGAAGGGGGTAGAGGGAGAGGGAGAGAAAGAATCTTTTTTTTTTCAGTGAGAGAGAGAGAGAGAGAGAGAGCGAGCTTGAGTGGGGCAGAAGGGCAGAGGGAGAGAGAGAGAATCCCAAGCTCAGTAATTTATAGTATCTCATTATATATTTGCAATAAGCTTATGAGGTGGATATTACTGTCTATTTTCTATAGATGATGAAGCTCAGGCCCAAATAGGTTTGGTAACTTGCCCAAGTTTTGCCACAGTGAGTCAGTGGTAGAGCAGGGATTTGAACTGGGGTCATCTGAGTACAAAAAGTAAACCATAGGAAGGGTGGTGCCACAGAAAGGACAGAGTATATGGAGACTTAGTTTCCAATTTGGGTCCCAAATTTGGTGTGACCCAAGGAGTCACCCAGTATTGACTGAGCAAACATTTCCTAAGTACCTACTCAATGCCAGACACTGGGCTAAGTCCCACAGGCTCTGGGTCGTCTAGCCCTGAGAGTCCAATGGTCTCTGATAGTCCTTCCCTCCAGCCCCCACTTTTAGGATGGATCTCTTCAGAGGGTAATGAGGGCCTGGGTGTGGGGAGACACTATACTTTTACCTTCTGAGCGGCTTGAGTTACAGATAGGAGTGTGGCTGGCATCTAACACTATAAATGTCCTGCATGGCTGTGTTGGTCTCATAAACTCAAAGGGAAGTTGCAACCCATACTGTTGATCTAAGAAAATGAACCCCCATTTCTGTAGGAAATATTTGGCAAAATGGTGATGCTAGGATGCTAACATAAGAAGCAAGACTCAGCCAGACTATGTCTGTCTCAACACCCAGATTGTTGTTCTCTAAGGCCAAGGCTGTGGCTGCCAAGGTCAGGCTTGTGTTCCCTGACACAGGGCCTAACATTGGGGAGGTACTCAGGAAGTGGGTGCCGACTGAATGAGCGGGGTCCTGCTGATAGAGAGCAAAGGCAACGAGGCCTCCCTAAGGCTGGGGGTGGAATGGGTGTGGAGGGCATTGAGCTGGGCATCTAGTTGTAACCAAAGAGGACAAACAGGGCACCATGGGAGTGACAAAGACCAAACTTTAGTTATGCTCTTCAGAGCCTCTTCTTCACTAGAATTTGACTTTGGCTTTCCATGTCCATCTGGTCCTTGGTGGGCCTGTGTCACCCAGTCCTCAATAAGAATCTTGCTAAGTCAATTTAGAGATTGAATATCTGATCACCTTTACTATCTGATCAAATTCCTCAGCCTTCACCCTTGATATCTGTTCACCCTGGCCTGCGTTCAGTAAGAATCCTATGAAGCTGGCTTAGCAAGAACTCCCCTACCCTTGATGTCTCCTCTTAGTAATTTTCCATCCACTTCCCCCTCACTCTGTTCATTGGCTGTTAAGTCCTCAGCCATCTTTGCTGTATTCAGAGTTGAGCCTGATCTTTCTCCCCTATTGCAATAATTTTGAATGAAGTCTTCCATACTCTTTTAACAAGTGCCAGAATCATCTTTTCTTTAACAGGTGGAAATGGAAAGGTGCCAATCCAGACTTGACCTGACTCTCTAGGGCCCTGAGGACTGGCTCTGGGGTTCCTCTTTCTCATGACAGCGAGGAGGACCAAGAGAGAAAGAGATAACCTCGCCCCAGCCCTCACTCCAACCCTTTCTGAACCCAGAGGGGAGAGGCCAGAGCTGCTCTCCAGCTGGACCTGCCCTCCCAGCATGGGAGGGAAGGACCAGGATGCACATACCACAGAGGAGGACAAGCCAGGGGCAGCATCCCCAGTGAGCTTGGGCCATGGGGTCTCCAGATGCCGGTGCTGGGTGGATGGAGGGATGGGGGGGTGGAAAAGGCAGGGATGTTTCCCTGGCCTCTTCCTCCAGGCCTTCCGAGGACAGGAGCAGTCAGGGGGTGGGGGCTGGCGATGGGGAGGAGGCGTCCAGCTGGTGGATGGTGAGTCCCCCTCTGGTCTTTTGTATCTGAGGGCTCCGGACTCGGACTGGACTCGGGAGACCGGAGTCGGGAATCCGGGTGGGTGGGGAAGCTTCAGCTCTCCAAGCCCGCCCCGTGCAGAGTCCAAAGATCTCTGTGGCAGAGGAGCCGCAGCTGGTCTCAATCAGCCTGCTCCTCCCCGCCCCCCACTTCAGCAGCACGTCTCAGTCATTCCCGAATTCTGTCCCCCTCCTTCCAGCAAGCTGTTTCCCATTAGCTCCCCCACCCCAGGCTCTGGATACAGCCCCACTTTTGCTCCCAGATGAATGTTTATCTTTCCTCCTCCTCTGAGCTGGCTTGTCTCAGAAAAAGCCAGTGTCCTCACTCCCTAGTGTTTGGGAAGCCCCGCTGCACCCCTCAGGGAAGGGGGAAGTTCGTTACAGCAGGAGAGCTACTTTCTTCAGCTGGGGTGAGTCCCCTCGGTAGAGCCCACTCTGTAAAAGTGCTGCCAGTCACTGGCAGAGAGTAAGACTGCCTTTCTCTTGGGATGTCTGGGATGGCGGGGTTCCATTTGGCTGTTTGAGCCACATATCTGAGACAGAATGAAGACTGCATTTGGACGGGCCAGGAGATGCCACTGAAGAGGGAAAAAGACTCAAAAAGGGGAGTTTGGGGGTCTCCAGAAGACAAATTTAGTCAACTGGACATGCCCTTTCTGCCATAGCTTCTAGAACAAGGCTTTGGTTCCCCTGCAGTATAGGTCACTCCTAACCAGCATGAGTCCCTACAGGAGAAGTGGAGAAGCTGAGGCCAGCATTGTGTCTACACCCAAGGCATCAGAGGGCAGCTGGCTGCACAGTGCCTAAACAGCTCCCAAAAAATGCCCTCTAGAACACTTGGCCAGAAAAAGCAATACTTGTGAGAGACAAACAGACCCAATGGACAGGTACTTGTCTAGCTTGGCGGTCCCGAGAGGCAAACCACACATTTCCTTTTGATCTTATTTTTAATGTATTTACACTCTGATTACATCTGCAACAAGTTTAAGGTGGCTTTCAAATACTTCATCCAAATACAATAAAATAGACCCATTCGGAGGAGGGAAAGGGGGCCTTCGCTGGACTCCTTGAAGGAGGGGAATTTAAATGAGGAAGGAGGTTCAGTGAACTCCACCTCCAGGAATAAAAGTAGAGCCCACAGCCTCAGAAGACAGACCAAGGACAAAGACTGTGAGAACCCTGTGTGGCTCTGGGACTGCTGATGCTCCCGCTGTCTTATCCCTGGCTCCCCACCCCCATTCCATGAATGGGGATGACGTGATTCCCAGGAACCAGAGGACTGGGGAAATGTCCCAGCAAAGGCCCTTACTTCCCTGTGAACTGCACTAGCCACCCTGAAGGGCAAGCTGGTAGACTTGATGGAGCCATGCACAGGAGGAACCCCAATAGCCTTGTAGGACCAACAGCCCTGCCTTCACCAGTGGAGCCAGACTGTCAGGGTTTCAATCCCAGCTCTGTTACCCACTAGCCGCGTGGTCTCAGGCAAGTGACTTCACTTCTTTGAGCCCACAGTTTCCTTGCCTATGAAATAACAAGACTAAATTTTTAGCAATGAGTTCATGTTTGTGGAGCTCTCAGCATGCTTGCTGTGAGGAGTAAGTGCTATGTAAGTGTTAAGTCAAATATGTAACCGGTCTCATCTGTACCTTGTTCTTTTTACCCCTGGCATCCAACACTGCTGAAATGGCAGTTAATATTATAGCAAAGATCAGCTGGGCTGAAGTGTCAACCCTGGAAGCAAATAAACCAAGCAGGCATCCCTCCCCCATCTTCTGTACTCTGCCCAGGGATGGTCTTGAAGGCTACCAAGGCCCACACAGTACTCAGCCCTGTGGTTCTGTCTCCAGGGAGCCTCTGTTGGCCCTGGTGACAATGATGACCTCACCTGCTTTCACCCTCAGTTTATCTCTTTATCTCAAAAGCAATGTCTTTACTCATCAGTTTGGGGCACTTGAACTCAAGTTGGCAACAGGCCTGAAGTAGAAAGAAATGATTCAGGGTGGGGAGGGTGAATGGCTGAGAGTCCTTGTATCAAAGTAGTTTAGAAGAACCGTAAGTCACTGGAGTCTTGCTGTGGACTGCACAGGCCTCCCGCCTCTGTTTGTCTCACTTTGAGGCCCAGGACTAGCCTAAAGCCCAATTTCTGAAGTTGGAGAATTTGTTCTTCAGAGTTTTCCCTGTCCATGCCTCTTTTTTTGTGCCCTGATCCCACCTCAAGCTCGTTACCCTGCCTTCTGACCTGGGTCTGCCTTCCCTGGGCAACAATGACTACCTAACTTCCATCAGAATGCACCTACCTGGGAGCGCCTGGGTGGCTCAGTCAGTTAAGCATCTGACTGGTGGTAATGACATAAACAGCAGCTTGAGAGAGCGTGGAGCAGCCCCATGGCAACAGGAAAGTCAGAGACCCAAGTGGGGATCTTAGCATGGCCAAACACCCTGCTGGGGATGTCTCAAGATACTACTGAGGATGAAACGTTGAAAGGGGACCTGAGGTCCTGCAGTTATGCAGATGGGAAGGAGAGTTCAGATCTAATTGCTCATATGACCTCAGAGGCTGAGAGACTGGGTGCCCTTGGCCATGTGGGCATAGCCCCTTCCCACCATTCCATCAAGTCTGTCAACCATGCTTGGAGACAAGTGGGATCCTCACCTGCAGAAGAGGAGACAGGCTAGAGAAGAATAGTGGCTTTGCCCAGGTTCAAGCTGATCAGTGGCAGAGCTGGGACACAAACCTGAGCCTGGGGGACTGCACAGCCCTTGTTCCCTCCATTGGGCCTCACTGCTGCCCCCATCTGAAGTTCCTCCATTCTTCCCAGTCCTCAGGACAGAATTCAATCTCTCCAGTTCGGTGGTCATCTCCTTCCTCCCTGATATGCCTCATCACCCATCTCTTCTTGGCCACATTCTCTCCATTCATCAGAGTCTAGTTCAAAAGTCACCTCATCCACCATGCTCTGAACTTCCCCTCAAATTCATCCCTCCATACTGGGGGCTCCCATAACATTTTGTTTGAGCCTCTATTTAAAAAGATTTGTGTTAACCCTTTGCTTTCTTGATTCTATCCTTCTAGGTCACCCATCCCTGAGGGCACAAGCTTGCTTTTACAAATTACTGGATGTACCAAAGCACCCAAGACACAGTCCAGCAATGAGTGGGCTCAATACAAGTTTGGTGAGTTGATGCTAAATAAATCCCAACAATGTGGTCTAGCCTTCCATCCCTAACCTGGAAGGAACGCCCTTGATGGAAGCAATTCTCTAGCCCCCAGAAGGCTGCCATGGTGCTGTTGGGTGGCCATTATATCATATATGCCCTGTTTTGACAAAGACAAGCCCTACCTGGGCTGCATGGTGTGTGTATGTGTGTATTATACGCATGGGGTGGTCATAGAGGGTGGAGGCAAGATTCAGTTTCATAGAAGCTGGTCTTTGTTGTGATGAGACCCAGAACCTCACTCTCAGCCAGGCAGCAGGAGGGGAGTTTATCCCCTCAGAGTAGGGTGGGACTTCCCTTTGCTGTGATTGGAGGACTCAGCAGGCAACTCCTTTCCAGCAGCAGACTCCTTCTCCTCATGGAATAAGATGGTGGTTATGGAACAGGAACTCTGTTAGCAAGATGCAGTGGGCCTTGCTGGAATTCCTTGTGAGCCAGTTAGCTTAGATTAGTTCTGTGGGCACAGAGTGAGTCAGACCTTGAGCCCTGGATGAGTGCTAAGCTTAGTCAGTCATGTTAGAAACCTGTGCTGCCCCCTCAGAGGCCTTGTGCTACTGAAGGACATGTGGCTACAGTACCATTGTGGCTCACCAAGGTTCCATTCAATTCCACTTAAGTCTCTATTTGGTGGTCCTTGGGCACTCTCCCAACCATCTGTCTTCTTTGTACCCTGATCCCTTTTCACTTCTCTGTCAGCTAATGCTTCTCTCCTCAATGCATCTGCTCCAAACACAGTGCCCTTCTGTCTGTCTTGCTTATTCATCATGTCCTGTCTCACCACACGGCCTTTGCCTGTTCTTCTTTCTCCACCTAGAATGTCCTTACTTGCTCTCTTGCCCTGTTAACTCCTTCTCCTTCAAGTCTCACCTCAAGTGTCACTTCATCTGGGAAGTTTGCCCAGACCACACCAAAAGTAACATTTTAGGCCCTGTCATCGCTGGGTATTGCCATGCTCTGATATATTGAACTCCAGCTTCCCATTCTCTGACCACATCCTCTTGTCCTTCTGTCAGTAGTCCTCTCTCCCTCACTTCTATTATACCTGCTTCTTTACCTCACTGAAACTTCCTGTCACTTACTTATGTTCTTTGTCTCCATTTATCAGCATCCCCAGTCTCACTTCCCTCCCTATTTGGTCCAGATAACATAACCCATCACCCCAACTTCCCTTTTATTAGCACATTTAGCTTTTCTGTACTTTTGTCCTTCCACTACATCCATCCTGCCAATCTCCATGTTCAAGTAAAGCATACTCCTACCCCAGGGCCTTTGTACACACTGTTCCTACTAATAGGAATGCTCTTTTTCCAGATATCAACATGGCTCACTCTACTTCATTCAGACCTTCATTCAAATGTTACCTCTGCAGAAAGACCTCCCCTGATCTTCTTATTTGAACAGGGCCTCTGTCATTCTTTATCCTCTTATTCTCCTTTATTTACCTTCAGAGCATTTACCTGGCAATATATTATTATGTTTGCTTATTTTTGTCCATCTCTCTCAGTAGTATGCAAGCTCCATGAAAGTAGGGACTCTATTTATTTTGTTCGCTGCTGTGTCCCAGAGCCTAGAACACTGCCTGGCACTTAGTA